TAAATAACACACTGTTATTTACTCAACAATAACACACAATTATCCTTGTTTTTATTTATTCTTTTAATTATATTATCTTGGGCTTTTTAGCATGCTTTTTAGCCGTAAAAAATCACCGGAAACAGACGTAGGCCTATAAGGGACATTTCGAGCGATACACAACACAAACCACCCACTGAACAGATTACCCAAGATCCTCAGCTTGAAGCTCGTTGATTGGATGTTTTAGCCGCAATGCATGTTGGGATATGATGTTAATGCGATATGATATCCGAATTTTTCTTTTTTAAATAAAATAATATTTTATTCCGAGTGTTCTTGCATTTCTCTTTGGAAGTCATCACATAACTGCATTGTAATACACAGTTCGGCTGCATTAAATATTACACATCTGCCATAATTCTTTATTTATTGACTCCTGATTAGAAGACTTCTAGACAAACTGGAAGAACTGCCACGGAAACTAAATACGTGACGTGGATCATAAATATATCAGCAATTAAACAACATCTTCAATTTCTCTTCAAACAATACTTCTCCTTGCAGTATCAATTCTAATTCGGCTGACTTTTATATTTGATCCAATTGGTAGATAGGCTATATTTACACCATAACGGTGCACAGCTGATAGAAAAGGACTTTTTAAAGATATTACTGATTTTCTTTGAATATAAGAATTTAAATACTGAGTTGAGAGAATAGTCAGGGGTTTTGGGTGATGGGAGACACATCTATGGAATCACAATGTCAATAGCTTACCATTAAATGACAGATAAACCTTTCTGTCTGTGATGTTTTACAAATCAGATATTAATGTGTAGAAGTAAAACATGAGAAATAGTATAGCAATATCCTGTAAAATTATGTGAAAACATGAATAAAACTACACATCTTCAGATGTTATACATACATAAGTGTCCTACACTAATAATACAAAGTTATTATTAGTATGCTGTGTGTACCTTGTGTGCACCGCCTAGTGGTTAAAGCACATTATCTTCTTTTGAATAAGAAAAAAGCTTTGGGGGTATCTATCTACAGATAAATATTAAGCCTGACAAAGTACTTAACGTCTAATATATTGCTTTCCTGCAATGCTATGTTGAAGCACTTATTTTAAACTGATATTATACACATTAATTATACTCTTATGTAGATAGTATAGAAATGTGCAGAATATGACAATTTAATGGTGGAGGTATACACACATATTGATAGATGTCTTGTAATGCACTGTTGAGGAACCTGTCGACCCAAGTATTTCATTCATTGCATAACTACACCGTAGTTGTGTATATGATACTGTATGTCAATAAACCTTAAAAAATCTAGAAATCTTGAAAGGGATGTGCCAAATAGCAATTATATACAGTTTTTAATTAATATACTTTATAGAGATCTGCAGATAAATGTTTAGTCTTCTCAAGCACCAACTTATCTAATATCACAATTCTCCTGGTTGTTTGCACGTGCACAGTCTACCTTCCGCTGGACATTACTCGTGTAAGCATAAAGTCTGCTTTAAGGGTTGTTATGATTTCACATGATGTGTCAGATCTGCAGAGTAACTCAGATAAGTGTATGAAGTAGATACCAGGTTAACCTCTGGGTTTGAATGTGGTAGAATTACAAAAGACTATGAGGCGTCATCGGCGTATTATTAATCGCGGCGCACATGGACACTCCAACACATCCAATCCCGGAGCTTGAAATTAATCACTGGTTTTGTCACAACGGACTGTAGTCCAAACGATAGCGGAGGATTATGGGTAGTGTAGTGTCTTCCGCCATCCTAAACTGAATTTTTTTTCGGATATCATATCGCATTAACAACACCACATCTGGCGTCACAGAGATCTTCTGTTACTGTCCTTTCTTCTTAGAGGAAGTACAGAAACACGTAACTCTGGATTTGTTTTAATGTTTGAGGTGCAATAAACGACACAGCAGCTTTTTGGCATGTTAAAACTATTATTTTCTGCTGGCGAAATTACAGCCTCGCCTACTGATTTCAATGTGTGCTCTAAAATGATATGTATAAATGACTATTATCATTATTATAAGCAAGACAATAAATGGCAAAGATAGAAAATATACGTCTTTAAGATATGTTCATAAGAAACGTAACGTGGGAGAAAATATGTTTCTAGAAGATATGTAGAAAATAAACGTATTTGAGATACGTTAATAACGATCGTAACGTGGGAGAAAATACGTTTCTAGCTAAACGTAATTGAGAATGCAGTTTAGTTCTGCGGGAATGCAATTTTTAGGAGAAAGGGTTGGTCCTTTTCTGCATCCTTATCACGTATTTCTGTTCAACAACTCCAGAGATGTATACATTTATTTGTTTGACTTGTCTCCCATAACTCTGAAAGTTGTTGGAGTGGAGAGTGAGACGTCAGCGTTGAGGAAACTGTCTCAACTTTTCTTTTGTTGTGTTATTCAGTGACCCTCCTCTGAGATACAAAAAGATGCCTCTGATGATTCACATCCCACAAACAAATGCACTTTTTATCTGACAGAGGGAGAAAAGAGACACTTAAGTGAGATGTAGAAAATGAATAAAACAAGCACGTCTGATGAAGTACAAAGAGAATGAGTCTGATGTTTAGTGTATGAAACACACACATTCATGCACATGTAAACTGTCCACGAGGCAGCTCTTCACTGTGATGGGCAGAGGTTAATAAATAAGTGCTGTTTTCAGGACATTCATATGAAAACAAGTTTTTATTTTTTATTTTACAATGTCTACAGAACTTGCTTCCCCAATCACTGATTTGATTTTAAGAGATTGTAAACTTGAATCAATCTTATCATCTAACCCTCTAAAAAATGAATATCTGTATTTCTGTAAATTGTATAATATGAAAACATGTCGACAGTTAGTTGGAGAACTAGGCCTCTCAAGCTAAAAAACTATCTTTGATGACATTTTATCAAATGGACTCTAAGGCTATGTTAACATGAGTAGTTACCGCTCTGTTCAGAACTATAGGGAAATGTTTTGAATTTGGGGGTTTAGAATTCGACCCTGAATCAGGAGCAAGGGTTTGTCTCAGCTATTTCAAATGCAGACAGTTAATTTCCAGAGGAAAAATACGTATTGATTACAGTTGGCAGATAGGGTATTCATATCAGGTGAGTTAGTTTTGGAGTAAGGAATCGGTCATAGAGGCAGAAAGTTGGTTTTGCTGCAATAATTTACTGATGTCTAATGTTTGAGAAAGTAAACAGATTCTCCAGAAGTTACAAATAATCAAATTTCTCATTAGATGCTTTGCCATCATGAAGAATCTTACGAGCATGAGCTGAGAACGGTGAAGGGATGGTTTTGCTACCATGTTTGTTAGCATGAATTTGCTTCTCGTGGAGCCCTTGATGAAATATTTACAAGGTAGACTCTTGTGTGTCATTGATCTCTCCAGCCACTGTTCACAGTGCACTTTAATGTGCCGGTCTCAACAGCAGAAGAAGATGAGGTGCACAAATCAAGGATGGTTTGCAGGCTAGAGTTGGCACAGGATTATGTTTTATGCCCTTCAGCTGTATCAGAATGAGAGCAACGCTTCTTGGGGATAGTCTTCCACTTGGCAAGCTACAGCAAATGTCTATGCACGTGGAATTCAGCTCGCTCACTGGAGAGTTATTCACGACATTTCCCTTTGAGGTAGAGAAAGTCGATCCAGATGAGGCGTGTGAGCACAAGGCCATTGGTAACTGACCAAATGAGATCTGCTTTCTCTTTTTGTAGCATTTACAAACAGCTGCAGCATTGAAAGAAAGATGCAGCTCTCCTACCAGTGTTCGATAGGGATAAGGGGCTGTGCAATACATTTATATTATATGGATATCAGGACATGAGACTGGATTACTTATTAATATCGTTTTTGGAGAATTTTATTGTAGTATAATTGGGGCACAGTGACTCAGTCCGTTGTGACTTGGCCTTGGAACTGTAGGGTAGCCGGGTCACTGTGTGTGGGCACCTCTCAAGCTACCAGGTGTCGACTGGTAGCTTGAGAGGGGCCAGTTCACCTCCTGGGCCCTGCTGAGGTGCCCTCGAGCAAGGCACCTAACCCCCGATACGACTGGCTGCCTCTCCACTCTGTATACCTGTGTGTATTTGTGCTGTGTGTGTGTATAAAACAGAGTTGAAACTGAATTATGCCCCAGGGGAATCAATAATGGTTCATCTTCTTCTTCATCTTAATTGTTAAATCTTAATAAAATATACAAAAATATTCCAGACAATGAAAAAAAAAAAAAAAAAAAGTGACATTCAAATATTTGGCCTCTTTGATATAGAAATCTTGGATGTGCTACATTTTGACACATTTTAAAAATATGTTCATTTTATTGGAGTGGTTTGTGCAATCTAACATGAATCCCATTGTTGCAGAGCACTGCTTTTACCACAAATGTGATATATTATTGTCTTTTTTGGACTTTACCGACAGTAAACTGATGCACTTTTCAGACTGTTCTAGCGTTTCCATTATTATTAGCCATTATATCCCCTTTAACGATCATTATTTATCAAAAGCCTTCCAAATACATTTATGAAAGCACCAAGAGTCAACTGTTCAATATCATCAATATTGGGGGATTTTATTAATTATATCTAGATCCCTCAGCCCTATATTGTGATCACAGCATGTTGTAAGCAGCATAAGCGAGGACATGCAGTGTTGTGTTTGTGTGACAAGAGTCCTGTCTGAACTACTGCAAGACTTCACTGTGCAGATCTGATGCTGTGGGGGGGGGGTTCTGCTGTCCAGGGGCTGCAACCTCAAAAACTGCATCTCCCATAAGCTTCAAAGCAAGCGAGCCTCAAAGCTTACAGTCAGACGCCAAGTATCAAATGATACCAGGAGTTGTCATGCTCCAGTAAGCAGGAGGAAGGGCAACATGTGGGAGCATGGAGAGGTCCAAGGTGCAGGAGCGGGGGGGGGCTGCAGTTTGCCAGCATGGAGGGCAGGTGGGGGGGGGGCCTCCTCTGCGTTATCTGTCCCCTGTTGGGTCTGCTGATGTCTTTTTTAAAGCCTGACGTGCTCTGAGGCATCAGCCAGGCAAGTTGTTAAAAAGTCGAGGCAATCCTTCCAATTCTCACCGGGGGATGTTTACTAAGCCTGCCTCAAATTAGCGTGAGAAGCGCAACATTTTACATCTCCACCAATTTTTCAATTTAGCGTGGTATTTACTGAAACTACACATGCAAATGAGACCAGCTGCAGTTGATGTCATTTGCATAAAGTGTTAAGCTCAATATGACCCCGACGGTGGTTCTGGCACATGTTGCATGCCTGGATAGCAGAGTGCAACTAGAGTGCAAGAGTAGAACTACAGGCAAAACATCATAGGTGAGTTATGAAACATCAGCATGGGAACAAATACATTCCAATTTTTGTATCTCAATAAAACAGCGCAAAATGTTTTACACCTGCTTTTTCTCGGATGTCACATGCAGTTTCCTCTGCTGCATTGATCAGCCAGCAGCTTTGGCTCTAACACAAAATACAGTTTCTTTTAAGTGCAAAATAGAAATACAGCAGCAGCCAGATATAGTGAAACCTAGAAGTCACAGCTCTGTCCTCTCTCTGCTCTACATCACGGTTTCCCCCTCAGGACCATACATTAGCACTAATTCTCCCTCCAAGCAGCACCCAGACAAATTATTTAGTGATTTTGCAGCAGTTGCATGCTTTGCCTCCACACCAGCATGTTTTCCTATAAGTCACATTATGTAACTTGCAGATTTTATAATGACTGTAGTGTTCTATATCATTACCCAAAAATATCACAAATATATATACGTCCTGTATTGTCCAATCAGGTCACCAGTGTTACCACCGTTACACATTACAGTATAACTGTAACGCACATTACTTTTAGTTTTGGCTGTGTTATCTCTGTACACTGCACATATTCTCTATTGTTGCACAGTGAACTTTTGCACATTCCTTTCACAATAATCTTGCACATTCCTACAAATTAAACACTCATATGTCTTTCATATTTTTTTCACATTTTGATTGACCATTTGCTTAAAATTGTATTGAGGTTTCTAGATTTTTTTTTAGTAGTACCCAAGCAAATTCCTTCACTTTAAAATGTACTTAGCAATAAACCTCAATGTTTCTTCCACATACCACGTGGACCAAACTGAAAATAATGAATGTCAAACAGTTAAATAGATGACATTCAAAAACTGATGCAACTCTGAATGTTACATTTCATGCCAATCAGACACTAATAAAAACGACTTTCCTCACGGTCGTCTTTGTGTTTCCCTGCTCAGACTCCCTGGAGCCGACCTACCAGCAGCTGCAGAAGATGAAGCTGGACAAGAGCCCGTTCGTGGTGGTGTCCGTCATTGGTCAGGAGCTGCTGACCCACAGTTTCCATGGCGCCTCCGTGGTGGTCCTGGAGGCCGGGCTGAAGATCGGCACGTGCTCGCTGAAGCTGCGGGGGTCCGTCTTCTCGGCCCTCAGCTCGGCATACTGGTCTCTAGGTAACGCGGAGAAGAGTGTGGCCTACATGCAGCAGGACCTGGAGGTCACCAAGACTTTAGGTACGAAGAGGAGCAAGAGATACAGTGCAGAGTGAAATGATAATGAAGAAAGGGAACTCATATTCTCATTTGTCCACAGGTGACCAGTCAGGGGAGTGTCGTGCTCACGGGAACCTCGGCTCTGCCCTCTTCTCCAAAGGCAGCTACAGAGAAGCGCTGGCCAATCACAGGAACCAGTTAGTGCTGGCCATGAAGCTCAAGGACAGAGAGGTACATTTGCATACAAAAATGCTGAGTGTGCTCATGCATATTCATGATGAACCAGATTTGCAGTCTAACTCTTGGCAGTATCAGTATTTGCTTCTCGGTTTAACAAGTTAGAGATAACAATCTGATTGAAGTGCACCACACAAATGTAGGCTGGGGCCCAAGCTATCACCCAGAGCAGGTCCTGTATCCATGCCCACCTCGTAGAGCCAGATATTACCATCACGTTTACAGATTAAAGTTATATTTGACGGGTTTGTCAATGCATGAACTTTATTAAACAAACTAACTAATTTATTTTCAGGCAGTATAGGTAAAAAAAAAAAAAAAAAATACTTATTGTGTGCCGCAAATCTCTGAATGAGAGAATCAGTTCAGGGGTATCTTACGCATCCAAGTCCCAAGCAGGGATGGGACGTTATTAATAAATGTTTAATTAGGGATCTCCCAATTCAGTTTTTTCCTGCCTCAGATCCTAATCTAAAAATACCCAGTAGTTATCACACTTTTACAGGTTTGTTTTTGCATTTTAAAATGGGATGGAATTCATGTGTTGGGTAAGACACTGGTATAATATAATAAGATCAATATGAGTTAATCTTGAAAATAGTTAGTGTTAAACAGTCCAAAGCGTGTCAGTTTTTTGCAGAGCTGCAACTAAAAGCAGTATAAATGTATCTCTCTCCATTCTGCTATGTTTATTTAAAGTACCATACTGATTATTCAGTATAAGCCTATACTGTAAATTAATATGACAACGTCACCTGTCTGTACAAAACAGTGAATTAAATTTAGATTGGAAATTATCATCCAAACCTAAATAAATATTAAAACAAACTTCTGATTAGCTCTTGCTCCTTTGCTAGTTTGGAGCGTCTGACTCTCAGAGCAGGTGTTTTCAGCCTCGGGCCGCAGCTACACTCCCCTGTTTCCTTCTGAAACACTTTGGACAGTTGTGAGAAGTGAACTTAATTAGACTGCTGTTTCAGGTTAGACTTTGGCCCCTCCATGTCTCAAAACACTAAGTGAAGCTGTCAGGTTTTTTGTGTTCATTTACCTTCGTCAAACTAACCAAACAAACAGTGTTTCGTACATCTACTGTGTGTGTGTGTGTGTGTGTTTTCATGTATGAGAGTGTGTTGCTTTTTCAGTTTCATGACGTAGTGTACATACAATTATGTGTCATTGTATAATTAAATATTTAATTTAATCTGTGCCTGCTGAGTTTTATGTAGAACAGGGGTACTCAAACTTTTTTGTTAAAGGTTCACTTGTGAATTTTATACAAGGTCAACAGTCCGGATCAATGCCAGTAAAGTCCCCCGTCCGTCCGTCCGTCCGTCCGTCCGTCCCCTCGGAGCGGAGCAACGAAACTGAAATTAAGAAGCAGTTTTGGCGCGCAATGCCTGGGGGGGGTTTCCCGACATGTCGTTGCAGTACATTAAAGGGTGTTTCATGTCCTGTGGACCTTCTTAATCTTTTTTTGTTCTTTTTTTTTTGAAAGAAAATTTAATTTTGTTTTTTCGTTTATTCTGGTTTGTTTTGTGCTTGTATCTTTGATTTTAAATGTATTTATTTATTGAATGTTTTGTGAGCAGAGCTGTGTGGTTTTATATTTTATGTATCTCTCTGTACAGCACTTTGGTCTGGAGGTTTTAAAGTGCTATATAAATAAAGTTGGATTGGATTAATCTACTTTATTTGGGGGCCCCCTTCTGGTCCAAGCACTTGCCTGTCGGTAAACAGCGCCCCTGTATACACACACACACCGCGGCAGAGTTTCGAAAAAAGAGAACGCCCAAATAGGTCCCACTCAAGAAAAAATAAAGGAAACGAAAAAATTTGTGTACACAGAAGTCATGTCTCAATCGAGACTCACAATCGCTCCGAACGATTAATTCGTTTCTGCTCTAATGCAGGTTTCTGTACAGTCCGTAACAAAGACTATCCGTTGAGAGACACCAGGCCGACGGCTAAACTGCAAGTCTAGCCGTCGTTTAAGACATCAGGCGGCAACCATTTTTCCTAAACCCATGCCTCCTTTTCTTCTCTCCCAAATAAAAGACTTCGCGACGCACCAAGGGACTGCGTGGCCCCTGTGATAATCCATATTTTCTGTACGTGTTTCCACGTACAGACCGTCGCAACACTCATACTTGCACGTCACTCTAATAAATGAACCCCGCCCGCTTCCGCCACTGTGCGTAACGTTGGCTTCAATTGGCGTTCAACATGGAACTGACCAAACATTACCGACCAATACTAACGATAAAACGGCTCCAAGTTCCGTAACCGATGTCCTGTTCTGTCAACGGACAGAACGGTGATCAAGTTACGGTTAGTATGCACATACATACACAC